TTTCTAGGTTATGAAATTAGAAAAGGTAAAGTTACCCCAGATAACCCAAATATTGAAAGTATTAAAAATTTGAAATATCCAAGTAATGTAAAAGAACTACAAAGAGTGTTAGGCAGTGTAAATGTTTATCATAGATTCATACCTAATTATGCTAAATTAAGATCTCCTCTAAATAAATTATTGAAAAAAGATGTACCATGGCATTGGGATGATCAATGTCAAACTGCTTTTGACGAACTGAAAAATATTCTTATTTCAAAACCAGTCTTACAATTGTATGATCCAAATAAACCTTGTCATGTTTTTGTTGATGCATCACAGATTGCTGTGGGAGCTGTTTTGAAGCAGCCAGATGAAAGTAATGTATTACACCCAGTTTCCTACCATTCTAGAGCTTTAAAAGATTACGAAAAAAATTATGCAATTACAGAACTTGAATGTTTAGCTATTGTTGATGCATTAGATAAATTTTATTACTATCTTCACGGTCAAAAATTTACAATCCATACCGATCATGCAGCCCTTGTTTGGCTTAAAAATGTTAAGAATTTAAGAGGCAGATTATTCCGTTGGTCACTCCGACTCAGTATGTTTGATTACGAAGTTAAATATCAAAAAGGCTCTACAAACGTTGAAGCTGATATGCTTTCTAGACAACCTGTTTCTCACCAGCTCCAACATTCTGTGTATTTACTTAATCGTGATGAAATTATACAACAGCAAAAAAGTGACAATGTGTGTGATAAAAAATATGTAGAACTAAATGATTTGATGGTAATTAAGAAGAAAAAAGGTTATAAAATTGTGGTACCAAAATCCTTAAGATTAAAATTATTAACTGAAACTCATGAAAAATTCGGACACCCAGGTATTCATGCTATGTTAAATTTAATCACCCCACAATATTATTGGCCCTACATTAGTAAAGATATTGGAAATTTCGTGAAACATTGCCATGTTTGTCAAATTATTAAAAGAAAAAAAACCAAAAAATTTGGACTTATGCAAGAAGTACCCCCAACTGATAAACCTTTTGAATGTCTTTCTATTGATACAGTCGGCGGTTTTAATTATTATAATTCTACAAAAAAATATTTACATCTTGTGATCGATCATGCCACAAGATATGTCTGGGCTTTTCCATCTAAAAGTGCAACTACAGAAACTTATGCTAATATTTTGAAACAAATTTTCCAAATTCAAGTCCCCGAAAAAATCCTTAGTGACCGCAATGCCGCATTCACCTGCAATAGATTCAAAATAAAATTTCTTAGAAATTATAATGTAAAACAACTTCTAACTACTGCCCATCACCCCCAGACAAATGGTAAAGTAGAGCGTGTGAACCAAACCCTAGTAACCCGTTTAAGATGTAAAGTAAATTCTACATCATCGAAAATTCCATGGACGAAAATTTTGGATCAAGTTATTAGTGAATATAATAATTCCCCTCATTCGGTAACTAAATTCACCCCTGCATATCTTTTACTCGGAAAACTTCCTTTCGATTCTTCCCTAGATCAAAATACTTACCCTCCGGTTGACATAGCGAGAAAATTAGCTAAAGAGAGAACTATTGAATATCATAAAAGGGAATAAAAGTCGTTATGACACAAAATTTGCAGATGTAGATTTTCAACCTGGTGATCTAGTTTTATTTGATGAATTTGAATTTCCGAATACACGTAAATTGACAGCTCCCTATTCTGGACCATACCAAATTGTCAAAAAATTATCTGAGGTTAATTATGAAATTGATAAAAAGAATTACCACACAAAGAAACCTACTGATATTGTCCATGTTTCCAGACTACGACACTACCAAGACCCAGAAAATTTTAAACTACATCACCAATAGGTAGACACACCTTCCTTTTGGTAAACGCTCAACTGGGGTTGCTACTAAAGGTAATTAGAGCACCTCTAATTATTTAATGTCTAATTTTCTGTGTTGTAAATTTTTGGTGTGTTGTTTTGTATCTTTGTATTTATTTTGTATTTATGTGTCAATTTTGGCAATGACATTAATGTAATTATAAAATACTATTGAAGTTTTTTAACTGATGTTACGTAATTATAAAATACTATTGAAGTTGAAAGTTGTGTTGAACGACAATGCAGTATATGACATAATTGTCATTGTCGATAGTAAAAGGTAAAATATGAGTAAAATTATTGTGTAAAATGATTATTATCAAAATAAGTGTTTTATATGAATAAGTAGTCAAAATGAAATACTGTAAACAAACTAAAAGTCAAAAGGAAATGTTACTGTTCTCGAGAAATGTTTTACCAATACTGCATGCATAATGTTATTTTTCTTTATTTTCTATAAATGTCGATATATTAAGGTATATTATTTACAATTTTATATATTAATATTATTATTGACTGTGTTATAGTGAGAGTGTCTATTTAAGATTAATATTATTGTAACTCGAATTCTGGATGTGAGTTCTTCAAACAAATTAAGCAATTATTTTTAAATAATTTTCTAGCTGTTCCCCCCCCCCCACACACACTATCTGGAATGTCTTGTGGACGAGGTCCTGGCTTCAAGCCTTTTCAGATGGGGGAATATTTTGTAATAATAAAATTCCATAGTCAAGAATACACTTAAAATTCTAACTGTATGTTCTTTTCATTTTTAATGGCGACGGTCTCTTATTTGAAAGTACGTGGAATTAAATCCACAGCCCCGTAGTCAAGTTGTTTTTCCCGCCTTTTCTACACGTACAGTTATAGAATGTTCTGGAAATATTTAAAGCGAACTGGAATGGCTGACGAGGCTGACGTCATTTCTTGGAAGCTCCGCCTTTCCAGAGGCTATAAAAGGACTCGCAAAGGAATATCGGGCATCTTTTCTTAAATGTAACGATGCAGTAAACTTCATACAAAAAGTTATTAGTAATTCTTTTTTATTTACTCCAGAGATCAGATTTTTGTAATTGCTATTTCCCCTGAAATATAATAAATGGATCCTGTTTTTTAAACTTATCGTCTGATAATTTAAGCTATGACTACATCTATGATTCTTCACCAATCTATTTATTTCGGGCAAAAGCTGGTACATCATATATATATATATAAGGTAATTATAAGTAATAAATTGCCTGTGCTAAAGCTGCAAAGTAATAAAATAATAATTTATTTTCTAGTAGATTATTTAATCTATTATCTCCTTTGAAAACAATAGTTAGAATTCTATGAATTGAATCAACTCGTTAGCATATTTAAAATGTAATTATTAAAATGAAATAGTTAAAAGCAAAAATATAACCAACAAACTAAGTAATTATCATCATTGACTGGAAATAAGGTGACTTTTCAAGGAGAACTAATAAAGACAAAACACTTTTGCTTCTGTTAATTATTGTTAATTGATAGGAAGTTAATTTGTTCCCCTTGAAATGTAACTAATTTCCAGTCAATGGCAGTAATTACTTAGTTTGTTGGTTACATTTTTGCTTTTAACTGTTTCATTTTAACAATTCAATTTTAAATTTGAATAATTCCATTTTAAATATGCTAGTGAGTTAATTCAAGTCATAGAATTCTAACTATTTTCCTTAAAGGAGATAATATATTTAATAATCTGCTAGAAAATAAATTGTATATATTTGTATCTATATATATATATATATATATATTGCCTAGGTTTTATAAATAATGCACTATTTCTATTTTGCTAATAACATATACATTTCTAAGCTATGCAGATATAGTATATGACCTGATGTTCTCCAAAGTATTTCATTTATATCTGTTAAATAATTTCATATTCCTTCCCTTGTAGTTAACAAAATATCTGAAAAATGCGAGTGAAATTGTGGAAAATGTAATCAGATCATTGGAAAAGGAAATTAGGCATCTATATGCTGAGTTGAATATTTTTGAAAAAAGCCAAAATCAGTTTACAACTGATGTGAGTATATTAATTTTCATTGTGTTTAAAAAAATGTGTGCTATGCTTTATTTAAATATGTCTTTTGTTTGAATCTTTGTAGAATGCAAGAAAATGACCTATTTTTCATTATTTTTGTAGGTTCTTCAACTGCTTTTAACTTGTCAAAATTTTTGCAGTGAAAATCTGAAAGCAGAATTCAAAGAAATGAACGATTTGAAATTTCAAATTCAAATATTAACAAGAGGTAGCAGTGAAAAATCAGATGAATCTGATGACGATGTATGTTGTATTTTAACAATTTTTAAACACTGATAACAGTTAAATTCAGTGAAAATTTAAGATTAACTTCATTCACATTAATTCTTAAATAAAATTGTTTCCTATTTTTTTCTATATTCTAGCAAAAATTGTTTACTACTTCCCTGATTCATTTTAAATATTAAATCTTTTTAATAATTATTTTAAAATAATATAATTAAGGTTATTTATATATAATAGGTGACCCTAAAACCCATCCACATTTGAAAATTCAATAAGTCACAAAATATAGGTAGAGAGGTAAAAATTGACACGCATGCTTGAAGTTGCATGGGTGTAATAGTCAGCACACTCAGCGCGTATTTGAGAGGTCCAAGGTTTGAGTCCCGATGAGGGCATTGCGCTGTTTTCATGTCTCCTGCTTCCAAATAAACTAATGTCTCTACAGCAATATTCCATAAATTACTAAATTTTCAAATGTTAATGAACTTTCGGGTCACCCGGTATGTGTATAAACATACATACATGTGTGTTATTATCTTTTATAGGTTAGTACTCAATAGTAAGGGAATAAATATTTTTTTAATGTGCTAAAAATACTATATGCAAAGTGGATAGTTTGTGGTCAGATAATAATGCAACAGCTGTAATGTCAAATACATAGTTGTATTTGTACACTGCATGCAAAAAAAAGGGGGGCAGTTCTATACATCCCATTCTATTATATCCATATCTCGAAAGCTCGACTTAGGATATATATTAGATTTTTATATATATAGCATTGTTCTAACATAGGTATTTTGACACAAAATCAGACTTTTTCTGAAATAACATACATTTTTTTCCATATTTTGATTCTATGACTCAAATTATGCCTAGATATTAAATTCCATAAAATTTGGTGCGAAATTTATGTAGAAATTAAAAAAATTATCTTGTGATGATTTTTTTCAGTCCTCACCAAGGATATTTCACTTGGCGCACTTCTTAACATATGGCAACCAATTTTCCTTTCCTTTCTATTATGCTGGAGCGGAAAAAAAGGCACCTTGTTCCTACCTTTTTACGTTGTGTATGAGCGGGAAAAAAGTCACTCGTTCTTTATTTCAAAAATTTTAGCAAAGGATCTAAATCACATTTGATGTTTCATCATTAAATGTGATTTAGATCCTTTGCTAAAATTTTTTAAGTTTATTGTACTATTAAGTTTAATAAAAAAATGAGAGATTAATAAATATATACCAAACTCAATTAACATTGAGGAGCTAAAATTTTTAAAGCTAATTTTTTAAAAACTACTCATTCAATTTTTACAAAACTTGTTAGTTTGGCGTAATTTGAGTCATAAAATTGAAATATGGAAAAAAATTGGTATGTTATTTCAGAAAAAGTCCAATTTTGTGTCAAAATACCTATATTAGAACAATGCTATATATAAATCTAATACATGTCCTAAGTCGCGCTTTCAAGACATGAAAAACCCAAGTTGAATTTCATCAATCGGCCCAGTAGAATGAGAGAGATAAAACCATGGAGGTAGGAAGTAAGATGGAGTCACCCTAAACAGGGTTCAGAGCAGGGTTCTCCCGTACCCTGCTCTGAAGCACCGGCGATCCCTACGTGGTGACCAAAACATTGGGTCATTTACCATTGAGTTCTATGGGATTTGACGCGTTCGGGTGCAAATACTTTGTAATTACGTCGCAAATATACATATAAATGTATATATTTCTTTTTTCTACAACACTTCAGAGTCCTAAGTATGTGAAAACAACATATTTTTTTTAAACAACATTTCATTCTGACGGAATTAAATGCTATACTTTTCACAGGACAGTTTCTCAGAATGGTTTAACTTGAATGAAATATTTTCACAAGTTTCGTTAATTACATTAGAAAAAAAATTAAGGTAATTCGATTTTATTCGGTTAAGGTACCAAAAATTAAGATCAAAGTTTATTGTATTATTAATATTAAAATTATGCATTATTTCTTTTCTATTTATAGAGCTTCTTCCTAAAATACTTTCTTAAATATGACATGATTTTTTGGCTTCTTTTAAATTGAAAAATATAAGTCAATTTATAATTAATGCTCTATTCGGTTCATTTAAAATTAGAGAATTATTAGGAATTAGTGAAATACTTTAAATAAGTATTTCGCTAATTCCTAATAATTAAATAGGTATTAAATAGTACTTGACTTTCTCTGAACATTTCTGAAAGGGAATAAAATAATTTTTTTTTTTTTTTTTTTTTTTTTTTTTTTTTTTTTTTTTAAGTATTATTAAAATTTGTAACTGAGTTATTATAAAATGTAAGGGGAATAATTCTTTTAATTATACTTATCAGATTTTTTTTTTTTTTACCCTTCATTTCAACAATACATATTCCAAAACTCTTTATTACGTTCTTAAGTGCGCATTTCATAGCATTTGCTTTACAATACCTTTTAACAGATTGCTTTCCAATACGAACAATTTTTGCTTAAATAGTTTTATAACGTATTTATCAACAGGATTTCAATTTATGTTTATAATTTAATATTAAGGTTATTATATATTTAGATAACATTTATAATCATTATAAATTAGATACATTTAATAATTAGATTTCTTCACAGTACTTTCACAAATGTTTATAAGTGAATAAATTCTTCATTTCAAATGCATTTATAAATAATTTAATGAATATTTAAGTATTTTGTCAAAGGCAGATACATGCTTTTTGCAAGCACATGCATAAATACCCATACATATTTCCTGTTTATCATTTCCGGCATGTGCAAATCTTTAATTTTTGTGCATTCACTATATTTTTCGTGTAAAGTAATTTACACTAATTTAGCATACACCCGAAAGTTTTACATAAAAAATATATATGAATATAATTTCAATGAAAATTATAAGCCAAAATTATAAATTTTATTTTTAATACCCACTCAAAGGTCAGTTTTTCTTCAAAATTCCTCCACGATGGCATCTCTCTCTTTAGGCAGATAGCCCTTGCATGTGTTACTCTATTTAATCTGACCTATGTGCCTAATTACAAATATTTTAACGTACATAATTTTATATTTATAAAACGTGTAAGCCCAAAGTGATTATTTTTCAGATGTATAAAATTAAAACGACGAGTTTAAAATGAGCAACAGTAAAGCCTCTCCTCTAAAAAATTTTAAAAGGTACATGTTACAATAATATATGGATGTGAAAAAAATTTATTTTATTTAAAACATTTCAGCGTTTGGAACATAAATAAAAGTAGCGAATACTCTATCAAGGGTATCGAAAGACGTATACAATTTTAAATGTATCGTAAGGTATTTTTCATTCTTTAAGCATAACATTTTTCTTAAAATCTATATTTTTGTAGAGCAACAGCTTATGATTTTATACAACAAATTCATAATCAAAATCGCTGTTGTTAGTTATCGAAAAATAACCAAGATGTGATTTTTGCGTAAATGTCACTAAACTATACAAATTGCTATTATCCATCCCACTATGCATGTTTCTTTCATGCGAAAGTGTCCCTTTTTCGATTTCTATGGAACTGTTGTGTGTCGAAATACTATCAGAATCTTGTCAAGCGAGCTTCTGAATGTAAACAAAGAACACCCCATCTGGTGACCCAAGCCTCAAAGCAGTGCTTCACTTTTAGCGTAGGTTGGCCCCTCCTCCCTTTCCTACCTCCATGGATAAAACTGTCCCTTCTCACCCCCCCCCCCCCCCCCTGCAGTGTACATGTCAGTTGTGCTGTGACAGCAATTGGTATAAGAAGTGATAACCTGTTTGGATTTTACTTCTTTCACATGGCTTTGTGATAATCATAGTATTTGGTATTAAATTTCATAAGCAGTGGTGTAGAATGAATAAAAGGGTGGAACAAAATGTCATTGTTAATGAAAGCATCCTTAATTGTTTAATTGCATTTAATGTAAAACCACAATTGAGCATATAATCTGATGATAAAAGAAGCCATCCTAAGGTGGCAGATGGATCAGTGCTGTTTAATTATTTTACACTGTATGGAAGTTCAGTCCATTTTGCAAGCAAGTAGTCGCTCCAGAATAAGTATGCTTCTGCTTGAAATTTGATTATACATTGGAAATAAGATTTTGTTATTAAATGAAGGATTTGTTTTCTTAGTCATTTCATGAAATTTTCCATTTTCGCATTACAAATTTAGATTTATTATTTTGTTTGATTTTTTTAAGGAATAATGCTTATTCATTTTTGCTACATATTTCCTATTTTATAAAGCTGTGAATAAAAAAAGTATCTGCAGTGAACTCAGTTATATGCTGAATTAAATTTTTATTTATTATTTATTTATGTTTGAATTAAATTATACTTTAACATTAGCTACAATTTCTCCTTCCAAAATTTATGTATTTAGAATCACATGACCTAATAGTATTATCTCTATTTAGTTTCCTGATTTCATATCTTGTTTTTTACAACTTTTGATATTTCGTTTTTTAGAATACAGAATGGTAAAAAGTTTTCTTTGAAACTCAAAGTATAAAGACTTGAAATTTTATGCAATAGCACTTCAGCTGTAACTTAAGTTGAGTAATACATGTCCAAATTTAATGATTTTAGGTTACAACTAAACTTTTTACTGTTGTTTGCAGTAATAAATTATTATGACAATATCAGTTTCCATATTGTAGGAAAAAATTTCATTTTAAATTTGATGTTTTTTCTTTGCATCACAACTTCTGCAAAAAAAGTTATCTTAATAATAAAGATTTTTTTTTAATTTAGCAAAAGCTTTGAATTTTGATTTTTTTATTAATAAGATGCAAGTTATTTTTGAAGCTTTTTACTAATAAGATCTCATTTTAAAAATAAAGTATGAAAACATGAACTTATTGCTCTAATGCAATTAATTTTTTTTCAATTTTGTATATTAATTGCATAATTCCTGAGTGTTCCCATATATTTTACTCTGGATTTGCATGCAAATATCAATTGAGCATTCTTTGTCCGCTTAATTTATTCATTAATATTTTCTTTAAAAAAAGGGAGAGATAGAAAGAAAAAATATTTTTTACTAACTATGTTAAAATTATTGAAAGTGTAAACTTTTGGTAATTCATTGTATTGCACGCAAATATAAGCTTTTGGATGCTAAAGTCAGGACCAATCAAGAAGTCTTATTGATAATGGAAAGAAAATCGTAGTATGTAAAGTAACTACTGTGAATTTAAATTACTTGCATTTTTTTGTCTCTGTACTGTGAATTAGGCTCATTTTTAATTAATTACCCAAAACCAGCAACTGGTCTTTTGTAAATTCATCTATGTTGTGATTTAATTTTTAATGTTTTGTTACAATCTGAATGTGCATATTGCATCTCTGATTGTGCATCTGATTGTTACACTCTGACTGACCATTGACTGACCAAAAGTTATACTTTTGATAATAGCAAGTAAAACTGTTTTATATTCCAAACCTAGTTTAGGAAACTTTTCTTATTAAGATTACTTTTTCAACAAAAAGCAATCCTTTTTCAGAACAGAGAATTTGAGATTAATTTCATGCTATTTTATTTTATATTGTACATTTTTATCATATTTGTTATTTTAAAAATTATTAACCCTTTGTTACACAGGTGGGGAAAATTATGTAGTTTCACAGTTGGCACATAAAATGTGCCAGTTAATATTTCAGTCGTACAGGCATCTTTTTTAATATTATTTAGTAAATAAAATATTTAAATAAATAACATTTTTGCTAAGCAATGAAATAAAAATCTAATTGTATCAATTTGATCTTCATAATGTATAATAAAATCTTATATGCAATTTAATGAAAATTCTGAAATAAACTAGATTTGACCCCCCCCCAAAAAACAAAAAAAAAAAAAAAAAAAAAAAACTTATGTTAGGAATATTTTTTTATTTGGACATATCATATTCCTCATTATTTTTCTAGTTATAACAATTTATACACGTATAATCTATTTGTTTCATGTGATTTTTACAAGGGAAATTTTTACAGCGTGAACAGTTTATAGTTGTATTGTTCTTTCTGGTACGTCGACAAGGATTATATTGACCTTTATTCCTTTGGTAGTTATTCAGCTTTCATTGTCTCTTTTTCACCAATATGCCTCTTAATTACTTCTTTTGTCATGACTGACAAATTTACATTCAAGCTTCGATTTTTTAAATGCGATTTGATAAGAGCCACAGATAATTTTTTTAAGAAATATCTTCTGTACGTGGAAACTGAGTCAGGTGCTGAAGCTTTAAGAATAATCTGGCTGTTTGTACCTGCTATGTTTAATAATGCATAAAAAATTGGCATTGGTCATCTGTATTTTTTTCTTGAGACAGTATAGCTCCCTCCTAGTTGATCAACTATATCCATGCCACATTTTGTTTAATTATAATCCATAATTACACATCATTTACCTGTCTCATTATGAGTATCTGCATTGTACTCAAGATTATAACAGCTTTATTTTTCTTTGGTATGCATGAGCAAAGACTTATGTCTTTTTGAAATCCAAAAAGTGCAGAACCAGTTTGTCTTGATTTTGATGGAATAAATTCGCATGGAATTTCCTCTTTTTTCGATCTCATTGTTCCTAGCAAGGTAATTTTATCACTTAACAATGACTTTCCTAAGGAGTAACTCGTGTACCAGTTATCGGTTGTTAAATTTCTGCATGATCCTTTTAAATGGGAAATCAATCTGTGAACTATGTCAAAAGACATGGTATGGGCCATCAGGCTGTGTTCCGCAGTATACTTCAAGATTATTAGTGTAAAAAGTCTTTGCATCAACAAGTGCAAACATCTTTATCCCATATTTAGCAGGTTTCTTCGGTATATATTGTATGAAAGAGCATCTACCACGAAAAGGCTCTAGTTTCTCATCAATGGTAACTTGTTCACCTGGCGAATAGGATTCTTTACAGTGCTGTACAAAAGCATCTAAAAAATCTCTTATTGGGACTAACTTGTCTTTTTCTCTTCTTAAATTTCTTGTACTTCTATTATCAAACTGAATAACGTTGAGAAGAAATTGAAATCTATTTAAAAACATAACGGCATGAAGAAGTTTAACACCCGTGCCATCGTTTGCCCACAATTCACGTAGATTTACCTTGCTAGCCTTTTTTAAACTTATTGGATTCAACATTCAGATCACTGCTATAATTTCATTTCTAGTAGTATCTTTCGCAATGGATCTATAGTATTCTTTGCCAGTGCCGTTCTTACATCTGTTCTCAATATTTATGTTTGTATTACAAACTATCGAATCGATCATTTCTACTTCAATAATGCAAATAATTCATCTGTAACATCATTTGCTTTTACAGACGGCAATATATTCTTCAAAATATTTTTCTGTGGAGTTTTCGAATACTTACTTATGATCAGAGATTTTTTCCATTTGTAGATTTCACATACTTCATTCCCTTTACCTCTTTTACCTTTGCATATTATTTTAGTAAAGTAGTCTTCATTGTTATTTACATCTGTTTCTATAATTTCTTCATGAGAATTCGCATCTATTTCAGATTGAGAATCATGATCATTTTCATGTATCTGCTCTTCACTGTCATTATTGAATTCTTCGTCATTATATTAGCTTAATTCTTCATCTGATAACTCTTGAAGAAGTCTCGCATAATTGTCAGGGTGAACTATATTTTTTCTCCTTGAAAACCTGAAATAAATATAAGAAAGTCAGCTTATTTTTTGTATATTAGTAAATAATTGGAAAGATTGAGAAATTAAATAATTCTAAAGCATTATGTTTTTGTATATTAGTAAATAATTTGAAAGATTGACAAATTAAATAATTATAAAGTATTATGAACAGTAATATTACTTTCTAATCATGCAAAAATTAAAAAACAAACTACGAAGTGTGAAAAGAAATACTTCCATTGTTACACAAATATAGCACTTTGTGCGCCACAAGAGACTTGTCGAAAACGATCCTGAAATTAAACATGGGAAACTGTGACCCGGCTTCCTTTTCTGAAACGAATAAATGGGCAAAGGTTAGGATGAGAGCAGGTGTACTTTGTGCCCCACCTGTGTAGCTAAGAATTAATGTTATTTCTGCATTATATTTCTAAGGTATAATTATTTATTTCAAAGGGCATACTAAATTATAATGGAGCAAATTTTGTTTCCGATGCCACAGTAATTTTAGAGCATAACGAGGAGTTACAGTCTGATGAAGATGCTTATGATCAAGAGGTTTGTTATTTTCATTATCAAAAAATTATAAACGAAAAATTCATTAAATTAAAATTTTATAAATAATTAAAAAATTATAATTACTTAAGCTCACTAGAGTTGAAGATGTTGGCATCATAACACTAAAAGTGTGATAACTACATCTGGGTCTGGTACACAAAATATAATAGATTCGTGTGTTTCCTATATTAATCTCTGCGTAGATTCTTGATTAAAATGTCAGCAGGCACATTTGACGCATATTTAACAATGATTTCTTCTTTACCAAGTACTATTATGAATGCATAATGAAAATGAGTGTCAATAGATTTAGTTAAAGAATTATAAAATGAATTCTTTACAAAATACTGTGCATTATGATTGTTATACCTTAATCCTGTTACTTTAAAAAAAAGTTTGTTTTTAAACACTGAATGCAAGTTTATTTCTTCTTTGAAAACTTTGATTAATCCTGTATATTCAGCACCTATGTTTAATTGTTCTACAGTTCTTTGCTTGTGTAATTTCCAAGAAATCAGGGTACTTAATATATTAGCTCAACCACCTTGGTGCAGTTTGGTAAGTTGTTACAGAAGGAAAATAGTAATTACTTACATAGCAAAAAACTATCTATTGCATACATATGTATTAGTATATTATAATTTATTTAAAAAGTCAGTCACCAAGCATACTGACCAGTGGGGGTTTTGTTCCCTTTTTTCTCTTGTAGAAATTTCATGGAGATCGCTTCAAGGCAGTTTTTTTCATTAATAGTTTTCAGTACCACATGCACATATTTTGCATATGAATTGAGGACAAAATATATCACATTTTGTCTATGAAAACTGATAAAAAAAACTTTTTGTTTTGATTTTATTCAGTTATGGCAAACCACTGATTTTATTCAATTATTGCTTTCGCCTAAGGAGAAGGATGCCTTTATATAGAATTTCTAAGCGAAACTACCTCATATGAACATTACACATGGGGAAAACCATAACACTACATATATAGCCAGTCCGTATGCCGGGATTTTAACTCCAGGCCAACCTATCAATGTTCAGCAATGTTAATGCTTGGCCATTAATGGGCTGGAAAATTTGGAGTCCAGTGGAAAGACTGCATACGAAAATGGTGACATTGCAATCCTAAAACTAAAGAATATTATGTGTATGGTTGTCTGAAGAATTATTATTCAAATGGCTGCCGGAGTTTGACAAATTCTAAAAATTTATTAACATCTACCAAATGGTTGTAGTAGAGTACAAGTGCCAAGGCGCTGAAAAAAATTCCTAACAATGCCAAGTGAATAACTTACGTTTTGGCATATTTTTTAATTTCTTGATCAAGATAATTTCTTTTATTTTTCTTACATTCAGATGCTTTATGCCTTTCTGTTCCAAAAGTTTTAGTTTTAGCGTTCATAGAAATAAATGTCATAAAATGGAACTTGTTTTTCCATTTTGTTACATTTAGTACCTAAATTATCCTGAATTTGCTATTTCCATGCATTTTAAACAGACATTTTATTTATTCTTTTCGTAACTTAACTTTTAGGCAATATGTCACATGTTTTTGTTGTGATCCTAAAGCTCTTGAATTCTTTAGTGACACTACACTAGCAAAATAGTTAAGTATATTTCAGGTATTTAAAAACCTATTGCAGCAAGTTTAGCTATAATTTCAAAGAAATTAATTAAATATTCCGCATCATCTCATTAGCTCACATCATTTTCCATATGAATCGCTTTGAGACTTTTTGTCTTGATGAATTTTTTGTAGTTGCATCTAAGCCTTATATGAAGTTTTCACTTTTCTCTGTGCTTTACATCAAATGATTTTTAGTTGAGATCAATAATTACTAATGCATTTTATTTAATTCGAACCCACTTTTCAATTTCTACTCTTATTATCTTCAATTATTTCGGGCTTTATTAACTGCCCACTCGTGTCTTCCTGAATTTCATATTGAACTGAGACCATTTTAACTTGAAATTGCCATGTTTCGGAGTTAGTTTTATCAATATGGTTAAAATACAACTACAGTTGAATAGGAACAGGACCAGTTACAGTTACATAGGGGTTGGATCAAATTGCCGCTGTACACCAGTGGTTGAGTAAGTCACTGAACACTAGTAGTTTGGTTGAGAGCTCAAATCCCGGCATTGGCAGCATGGGTATTTTCATCGTTTTTCCCATATGTAATGTGTACTTAAGCCAGTTTCCCTTAGAAAGTCCTATACAAAGGCATCCCTTTCCTTAGGCAGATAGCCCAGAGTGCTTTGCCAAAATCAAATAAACCAAACCAAACCAAATCAAAAAGGTTTCGCCATGCTTGGCGACTTTTGGCGATTTCTCACCGAATCTGGCAACAAAAAGCTGCCAAACCCACTACCTGTATAATGCTATATCCCAAATTCAGCGAGATAGTCATTTATCTGAATGCTAAATGGACTTACCCCTGTAATCTTATTTTTTCCTGCAGTGGTTCATATCTTTAGACCTTTCATGTTACATTATACAAGAGACACTAGATTTACATATAATTTCACTAAAATTACTTGCAAATATACAAAATTTGTAATAATAACATTGATTTTTTTATGTGTTTACTAGTTTTTACTACGTATTCCATGAAATTGATTGGTATAAGTGTTATCATCAAAGTTAAAATCTGCTCAGTTAAAGGAATTCTTTGAAATCGCAATAGGTTATAAATAGGTTTTAAAATGAATAGTAAATTAAATATGCATGCATTTCTTTTTGTTTCTTTTAATATCATATTATTGAATTTCATGAATGCATTCTAATGATTAATGATATAAAATCATAATGAAATTAGTACTATGTGATGAGAAATGTTTTTTTTTTTTTTTTTTTTTTTTTTTTTTTTTTGTGAATACAATTATAATCCAAATTATGCAGAATTATTACATGAACAATGAGTTATATAATTAATATAGAAATCAATTAGGCTCAAGAAGCATTAGATATTTTGCAATATATACATCAAGCATCTATTTTATAGTGCTCTTGACATATGTTTTTTACACCTCACACATACAGCTTTTGATTTTCTGTCTTTTTCCCTTGAGCACATGTAATATCTCCTGTATTATATTTTTTGTGTGTGTTCATCAAATCCTTTTCTATAAGAAGTTTGCCAAATCATAACTGATATACCAATTGTCTATGGTAAAGTTTCTTCCAGATTTGAAAGCATGGAAGGTTCTAGCAAACCATAGCAAATATCTTTATACCATATCTTGCAGGTTTCTTAGGTATATACTGCCGAAAGGAGCATCATCCTCGAAAAGATTCTAGCTTTTTGTTCAAAGTCACGTATTCCCATACATAATATAATTTCTATCAATTCTTGACAAAATTTTCAAATAAATCTCTTATTGGAGCTAATTTTTATCCTTTCCTATAAAATAGTCAGTTTGATCACAAGAAATGTCTTCTGAAAAGTTGCACTCTTCTTCTGATTCAGACTCATAATCAATAAATACATCTTCATTATCTGAATCTTCTAATTCTTCTTCTGTAGAATCTTCATCCAACGAAACCTCCTCTAATAATTTCTGAAATCTTTTCATTTCTCGATCATACGTCAAATGAGGAAAAGCCCGAACAGAACTACTTGCACACGCCACGGCTCACACTGAAAAATAGTAACACCAAAAGTGCGTGTGGGGTTTCTGCATACCCCAAACTTTTATTTAAACAGCAATAAATGCTCGGAATTTGCTGTTTCCTCTCGAGACATATGGAACATGACCTTGAAGGCAGCTACTGATAGACCTAAGTATTTCGGATAATAGGGGGAGATTGCTAGGGAATTTTTTTTAGCGTGGAATGCCGAAACACTCCACGTGCGTCTTCCCAGGTTAATTAATAAATTATTTTAATTAATTATTCAACATAAATTTAAACTGTATGACATATGAATATGAAACTTTACAGACATATGTACGAACCCTTACGAAGTTCAGATTACAGATGTTCAATGTATCCTCCATCAGCGACGCAAACAATATCACATCGATACTCAAATTCCTCCCATACTCAGGCAAGCATGTCCATCGTCACTGATGTTATGAGAGTATGGATCCGGTTCTTCACCTCTTCCAGGTACTGTCAGAGTGGTGGTACATAAACATTGTCTTTAATGAAAATAACCATGTTTCCATCAAAGAAGAATGGGCCATAAACAGATGATCAGGATATTGTATAAAACACATTGATTTTGGGCTAATCTCGTACAGGTTCAATGGCTGCATGTGTGTTCTCTAGGCCCCATATTCGAACATTGTGTATGTTTACATGACCACTAACATAAAAAGTCGCTCGATCACTGAACGTAATGTATTGTGCAAAAGTGTTACCATTGTCAATAGCATCAATAATCTAGTTACAAAATGCCACATGTTTGCGTTTCTCGTCAGGACGCAGAGCCTGTAACAAATGTAACTTGTACAGCTTCATAATCAACTGATGTCTCAAAACACACCAAATTGTTGTTGTAGGCAATTGTAACTCCTGACTGGCACGATGAGTTGATTTTGAAGGACTATGTTGGAAAGGATGTTGAATTCATGCAACATTTTCATCGGGAGCACGAGGGTGGCCAGGACTCTTTCCTTTACATACACATGCTGTATTTACAAACTGTTGATACCATCTGCAAATGTTCCAACTCATTCAGAGGATCACTTTGGTACTCAACTTGAAATGTCTTTGCATTGTAATCACAGAATTGCACTTCGCAAACTTAAGAACACAAAAGGGTTTCTGCTGCAAAGTAGTCATTTTAAACAAGTGACGGTTGCCACGCAAAACAGAAGACAACTGACATCTAGCGGCTATTAATATAAACTAGGCTATGTATTTGTTTCGCCAATATCTGAGTCGAGGTGCAGTGATCGATTAGTTTGGACAAAATAACACTTTGTAATACATATAGTCTTTTTGAAACACAGTGTACTTTTCATGTTTTGTTAAAGTGCTTCCTGGTGAACTGAAAATGAATGTTTCCTGGTGGAAATTGCTTCAATTTCTTTTTAATGCTGTTTAACCATAAGCACTTTATAGTTATTTTTTTTTATTATTATTATTATTTTTTATTTATTTTTTTTTTTTAAGGAACTAGGTGAATTTTCTTTCTTATCTTTAGGGAAATGAAGTTATAGCTGCTTGTAGGAAACGAATGAAAATTTTGCTTATCTACAACTCAGAAGCATTAAGTTTCATAGAACCTGATTTGCAAAGATTGGAAAGCACCATGGAAGTTTTGAAACAAAAAGTAAGAATTTTATTTTATATAAAAATAAATATTTTGCTATTATAAAACACAGAACTGCAAACTATGATTCATTTTTTATGCCATAACTTGGGTGTAATGCCATTCACTTGCCTATGTTTGCACCTTTTTTGCAAAATGATTGAAGAATAATCATTTTTCAAGTGGCTTTTTTTTTTTTTTTTTTTTTTTTTTTTTTTTTTTTTTTTTTTCAATTATGAAATCAAAGGAAATGTATTTTCAGTCACATAAGGATATAGCTACAGATAAGACTTAAAACATATTACTAGACAAAAATTAAATGTATTGCTGTTTCTTTGGCTTGGGCTGGGGGCACGTTTCTGATTTTAGATTAATCACTGGACATGACAATTTATTAAGTCATTCAAGTCATATAAGAGAAAAAGAGGTTGCTATTTGTTCTCTGCATCCACAGGGGGATGTGAATTTAGATCATCTCAAGGCCTTCCCTGTAAAGGTATCAGCTTTATTTTTGACAATACCTTAGAAACTGATTTTGATTTTAATGATTTTTCAACATTTTAATGACTGTTTATTAATTGATGACAAATATGCCAGTTACAAGTGTAAGATTAAAGGGGGGGAAAGCTTTTTTTATATAATTATTTTCATTATTGTGTAAATTTAATTCAGCCATTCCTGTAAAAGCGATGAAAAGGATGAAAAAATAGAAATGCTGAGTGCTCTGTGTATTCAAATGAGTCTGAGTTATTAAAAATCTGCAGTTAGCAGATTTGAGCATGTCTGAATTAGAAAATTTCAAAAGAATTTTGTTTTGTACTTTTTAGGATGATTTACCTATTGCCAATCAAAAATTTCAAAAATTAGCTTGTAAAAATTTAGGATTTTTTTTTTATTTGAAATTATTTCATAATGTAAAAAAAAAAAAAAAAAAAAAGTCTCCTTGCCCATAATTTTCTTACATTTATTTAAAAAATCTGTGTAACCGTGACACTGCTCTGTAGATTTGTCTGCACTAAATATGTGTATATATATATCAGTTTATTTGATGTGGACTGACAAGAGTAAAAAATGTGGTTCCTGATATATAACTGTTATTCCATCATGAAAGTTTATTCAAAGGTAGCACTCTCCAACCCAAATTTTTGCAGTGACTTCCAGTTTGTTTCATATTCACTATTTCTTTTAAATTCACATGTACTTTAAACATTTTTCATTATATAAAGTACTTTTGAATTTGACCATAAAGTTTTCATTTTACTTTCTTTGATTAAATTTTAAGATCCCCTGCACAGATCATGTTTTAATCAATCTATTCTCTTAAAGTTTGGATGACTTATTTTATGTCTTGAACCTTTCAAAGCATGGAATATATTAGCCTGTAATTACAAAATGTATTTTATGTAATATTTGTGTCATTTTAACCGTTTAATTGGCAAATCTCCTGTAACAGCCAATGTAGTACATGCTGCTTTTGAGCTACTCTGCCAAGTAAAAGGTTAAAATGATGCTTTTTTCCCTGTAACTTTTTTAGTTCTTAAAATAAAACTTTTTGTTTTAAAATATACTGAAAGAAAATTTTTAATCATATATGAAATTGTATATTTTAGAAGTAACATTTTTTTTATTTATTATTATTATTATTATTATTATTATTATTTTATTTACCAAGATTCCTCTAGAATTACTGCATTCAGTAATGTAAAAATATGTACCATTCAATAATATGAAAGTTTATCTTAATTTTTTTTTAATTATTAGCTTCAGGAATGTTATCTACTTTTTAAATCTTCTTTATATGACTTCAAAATGGTAATTTTCTATTATATTTTTAGAAATCAAGCATTTTTAATATGTGTAAAGACATCATGTTTCAAACTGTCAGTAAAAGAAATGAAGAAATTAAAAGCATGAATTTTGGTCTCACATGTATGAAATGCATGCGATCCACAGGGGTATGAATAAAGATTAAATATTTACAAAATTCATTAATTTGATTGAAGCAAGTTGAAATTTGAACCTTTTTTTAACTGTATGTTTATTTCACCAGTAACGTATGAAATAGGAGTGTTGCTTTATTAGTATTTATCTATATTTAATATATTTATTTAAGTTTAATAATTTTGATTCGTGTTCTTTAGGAAGAAGATATTATTTATGCCTGCAAAAATGTTTTTGAGAAGGAGTTAGAAAAGAGAAAACAAGAAGTTGCACAAATGCAATATGATTGGGAAAAATTTAAATCTGAAAATGAAGTATGTTGTTTTCTCCCCTCTCTCTCCCCTCACCCCTCATCCCTCATCTCATCCTGTTCCTCTTCCTGCATGTTTTCTAAATTGTGTCTTTGAAAACCTATTAATATCCTAATTAAAAATGAATGAAGACATAGTTCTTACTAAGATGAACTATGTCTTCATTGATTTTTAATCAGGATATTACTAAGATCATTGATTTTTAATTAGGATATTACTAAGATCATTGACTTTTAATTAGGATATTACTAAGATGAAGTAAAAAATAATTTTTTTTTAAATAGATTTTTAGCTTGAATTTGTTTGTCTACAATTATCAACATGTACCAAAAATGATGAGTCAAAAGATTGCTAAGATCATATCAAAAACTATAATCATTAATTGGCTGTCTTTAGAGTTGAATGAAATGTTCTTTCCTGCCAGAAAACCAGATTTTTATTCATAATTTTACATTCAAAAATAAAATGCATAGAAGTTTTCATATTTATCTTTTTACCAGCAAAAAGACAAAATTTAATCAGCTGTATATTGAGCTAAGCAATTTTTCAAGGTTTTGTAACATGTTTTGGATTTTTTACAAGGGGGAATTAATAAGTCAGTAACTCAGGGCATCAAAAACAATTTAACTTTTTTTTTTTTTTTTTGAAAAATATGTAGTTGTTGAAAATTTTTTCATGCTGAATGAATAATTTAGATTATTCATTTGACAGTTCAACTTAACCATAAATTAATATTATCAAATAATCTATCATTTTATATGTGTGTATATATACACTTTACTGTATTCCTATATTCCTTAACAAAACTAAAATCTAAGATTAACATAGGATTACAAACGCCTAATAAATATTCATATATAAGTACAGATGTCAGTGTGTGCTTATTGCATATTGTTCTCAGATTTATTCACTGCTTTCTACAATGAAGTCCATTCTTGATCTGAATCATAACTTGCTTCAACTACGGAAGATACAATAATGGGGTAATTGTAACACAGATATCCCAAAATAAATATATACAAAGCAAAAGCAAGCTTTTTGCTACAAAAATTAATAAATATTAACTAAACAAAATATTAAATCTTATTTTATAATAAATAAGCAATGTTAGTAAATAATATAAATAAATGAGATTACAGTATCACTTGCAAATTATAAATTTAAGCTTGCATCTTAATAATATTCTAGAGAAAATTACATCTACTAGAAAAAGAAATGTAATTATTAAACTACATTGTAAATTATAAATTTTCATAAAAAAAATTTAAACTTGGATTGTTGTAGACCTATTTTTTGAACAATAAGCTGTTCAAATGATGCCTTGTAACCAGTTTTGTCATGTAATCAACATAATTTTAATATAGAAATAATGAGTAAGATTTTTTATTTAAAAATAAATTGTTTACTTTAGGTATTTTAATATATGTTGATATTCACTATAAAATACCAAAATATCTGAATGTGGCTTCAAATATACATGCCTTTAATAAATTTTCACTTTTAAACATTATTGTGTACTGATATTTATTTTTTGAATAAATAAATAAATTTTTATTGATTTATATTTAAAATTTTTAACTTTTGTTGAATTATATTTACTTCTTATCATTTTAATTAATACATTATTTTAGGTTTTACCTCTTGTATCTATATGTGCATCACATTTATTGTCATCTCTAGAGAAAAGACTGCAAGAAATACCTCTAATGAATAAATATTTGGATTCATTACAAACTGAAGTGAGGATAAAATTTTACTTTTAATTTTTAGAAATTAAAAAAAATAATAATTCACATTTGCCATCAGATAGCTTAAGTAACATTTATCAATGGTGAATTTACTGAATATACACTATGTCCTCAAAAGTTCTTGCACATCTTTTATTTTCATAACCTTTTGTTGTAGATGCATACTTCCAATTACACACAATAAAAGGGCGAAAGAAAAAAATGTTGCAAGTATTCATATGTTGTCATTTTTTAATTAAAAAATCAATTTATAAAACTTACAAAAGCTAACTCTTAATCCATTCTGCCAGACCCTGAACTTGTATTAGGGAAATGTTGTACTCATTTCAAAAGGTAAAATACAAGTATAAGAAGTTTGATTCTCATGTGATGAAAATTAACTAAGATATTTTATTTAAAAATTTGATTGCATTCAGAAACCACAGATAAACTGAAAAACTAAATGTTTGCATTATTTTTATATAACTAAAAATAAACATGAGTTTAGAAAAAGGTTTCTGATGTTAATGGGTGAATTAAAGATAATTTCTATGCAGAAGTATTGATAAGTATAATTTATCAAAAAAAGAAATCTTACAGAATTTGTATTCTAGGAAACATTGGTAAACTTTCAGTATTCGCACATTGCAACTCATAATATTATTTGCAGGAAATAAAAATGAAAAATATTTCTAGTTCATTGAATTTTTTGCATGATTATTACACTACTCTTCAAAATTAAAAGGTAATCAGAGAGAGAGGGGGGAAAACACAATTATTTAAAGTTTTCAACTAGTGTCCAATCATGGACAACTTTCAATGAGTGTTCGAAAGCAGGGTAATTATGTATGTTAATTTTCTGAAACTGAACATTAAACTGGACTTCTGATCATAGGCTAGCAAACAAAATTTTCAAATTAGGCAATTGACGCCATGTTGTGCAGTGGAGGCATATTTGAATTCAGATATGTATTTTTATTTGAAGTAAACGTGGTTTCTGAGAGTGCTCCATATTCATTAGTTATGAATTGCAGGCATTCTTTTAGTGAAGAAGAGTAGCAGTTGCAGTTAACAGTGTTGTTGTCGAAGTGGAAAAGTGGTGTTGTGGAAGTGCTGAAATGGAGCAAAAGGCGAACATCAAATTCTGCTTTAAATTGGACAAAAGTGTGACAGAAACACATGCAATGTTGAAGCAAGTGTATGGTGAGCAAGCATTATCCCGTTTCCGCACATTTGAATGGTATGGACATTTACGTGATGTCCGTGAAGTGTTGAAGATGACACCCACACCGGAAAGTTGATTTCCGTACGTTCTGTTCCTGAAACAATTGAGAAAATTCATGAGCTTGTAACAGCGGATCGGTGGCTGACTATTTGAATGCTAGCCAGTAAACTGAATGTCGACAGAAAGGTGGCCCACCAAATTCTGTGGGGTGAAACACAAATACAAATTATAGTTTCCCAAGATTCAAGTATTTTCAAAGTGCTGTACCAAGAATTTGGAATGAGTTTTTAAACAGTAAATCAGTTATTAGACATTCTGGTCAAGAGTAGCCAAAAAACAAAGCTGCATCCAGAGACCATATTTTGTCATTGTCAGTGTGAAGAAATCAGGAAGCAAATAAAAGAAATTTGGTTTCAGATTTTTAGCTCTTACAGAAACTCAGATCAGTCATTTTAATGCTGCTTTTGAAGGCTTCCTGAGTTTTGACTTTATACAAGGTGGTTTGTGGCCCACTAATCTTCAACAGAGGCCTGAGTAAGATTTTGTCATCATTTTGTTTTCTTACAAGACAAGATATAGCTTGAACTGTGATCCTAGATGAGGTTTGATCTGGAACAAGGAGCATGCAACTTGCTTTCACACTCAATAGTGATTTTATCAATGTGAAATCATTAGAAGTGGCCACACCAAGTGACATATCTTTCATGGTTATAGATACATGGACAAGATTTCAGAAGCCCATGTGAGGCCTTATAGGCATGCTGCTGCCAGATTGTTTGCTAATAAATGGACAATGCTTGTCCGTATTGAGCATCTCTGGTATCAGAGCACTTAGAAACAGAAGATCTCGTATAAATGGATTGGTAAGCTTATGCACAAAATTCAAACTTGATTGAGCATGTAGTATGCTTTAGGCTGCCAAATTGCAGCATGTGAGTTGCCTCTCTGGAACCTCCAGGATCTGAAAAGGCATATATTTCCTTCATGTTTGATTAACAATTTTGGTGTATTCTATGGAATCAATTGAATATTTAATAGCATAAATAAAATTGGCTTTTATTTACATTAGCAGGGAAGCAATCTTTAAAATACCTATATATGCAATACATTGTATGTCTATAGTGTGAAGTGTAGGTAAAACTTGGGAAAATCTGTATAAATTCTTAGCAAGAATTAATTGTTTATGAAATTTTGTGGTTTGATAGTTATAAAAAGGGATATAATTTGAAATAAAAAGAATTAATTTTTATTTTAATTACACTTTTTTTTTTAAATGTGATATGATAATTTCTTAAAACTCTTCATATAGATCATCAGTTTAAATCTAGTAAGATGGCATGCAGAAATTATAAAATTATATCAAACCGTAATTTATGAAATAAAGAGCAATTATGTGAAGGGTATCAAAATTTACAAAAAAAAAAAAAAAGAAAGAAAAAAAAAAGCTTAATATTTATTTGTTTACTTTATTAAACATTTCTTTCAATGTAAGTTGTTTAAGTTGCTTCGTTTTATGTGATAATACTTTCTCTTTAATTCTATAAACAGACATAATTTCTTCTTCAGTTACAAAGTTCCACTGTTCAAGTCCTATAATTGCTATGTCAAGAATACCGACTAATTTGCCAATCGAAATTTTTTCGTTTTCAATAACCTCTGTCACTTTCTTCGCTATCGGAAGCGAATTACAATGACGAGGAATTTGATTTAAATCACATCAAAGACGGAGTACATCAAGATGAAATACTACATTTAATAAGGAATTATAAGCCAAATAAAATAAAAACATCTGCCCTGAAGATAAGGATAGTGCTGACAGATCAACTTCCAATTCATAGCATCCCCCCCCCGGCGCAGAGCAGCAGGAAATTGATAAACAGATTTCGGAATGGTTAGAGAAACAAAGGATATGCCTTTACCCATTTTTTACTGCAATTCCTCTTTTTGTTTAATGGACTTCAAAGCATACTTTCGCTTTGTAGATCTTTTACATATTAGTAAATATATATCGGAAATTCTATTTGACATAATCGAAAGTTCAAGCTTACTTTTATAAAATTGCTCTAACAGTCTGCAAAAAATAATAAGCCGGATCCAATTCAAAGATTAAGGAACAACGCAATCTGAAACATTAACTGAATTAGATAATTTTAGCTTAGCTTATACTGTCTGTTATACGTTAAACGTGCATGCATAAACGTATTATGTGCATACGCACACGCATATTCGCAGCTGTAAAGGTCTTACGTGCATGTGTAAACGCCTATGCGTCAACGCGACGCATGCGCAGAAAGTTTGTAGCTTTGAGGTCCGGATTATAGATCATTACGAATTAACGACTTTTGACTGTATATATATATTAAAAGTGCATTTTTAAGCTTCAGTTTGATATTTGCTGAAGAGAATTTTCATTGATGGTTTAAAATGATAGGAAATTTAAATTCATCAAAATATTTTTCAGAAGAATTTAAAATTCTTAAGGGGGGAGGAAAGAAAAGATAAGTCTATTGAATATTGAGGTAAATGTCTATCCTATGAATTGGCGAGATATCGTCAAGCTGACGATGGTTTTCATGACTAATTTTATTGTCAAATTTTGGGGAAATTCATCAAAAGTCGCCAAACCTGGTAACATTTTGGTCTGGGGTCTGTATAATTGGTAGTGTAATTGAGCTTTATATGTAACTGTAACCATATCCTGCCATTATATGTAACTTTATATACCTTTCAATAATTTCGAGAAATGGAAAGTACTAGAGTACTAGAGATCTGTTGGGGTTCGGTGAGTAACTATATAAGACTGGATAGAGCATCAGCTCCCAGCTGTTTAGTTCAACCTTGAGTTCAGAGTACAGGGAGTTCTCCATTAGAACTACTCCTTTCAAATGTGCTGTGCATTATGCTGTTTTTAATGTTCTTAATAGTTCGAAGTGTAACTACTGATTGTGCTGTATAATTCTGGGAAAAGCTTTGTGAGTGTATTTTGAGGAAATTTCTAGAACTGTAAAATATTTCTTTTCATAAAATAAATGTTATCAAGTTATTATGGGTTCTGTGTGCATTCAATCAATTATGAACCCATACGCATATAACAATTTTTGGTGTCAGAAGTGGGATTGAATGATGGTGACAAGAGTGATAGAGGAGTAATTAAGACAGCTGTTAAGTGCCTTCTGCATTCTAAGAAAAGAAATATGGGGCCATAAACTCAATTAAAGAAGAGATGAATGCAACTCAAGAAAAGATGGAAGAGGCCGCAAGTCTGTTAAGGAAGATGTAAAAGCAGGTCAAGAATCCGTAAAGGAAAAGATGAAATTTGTTCAAGAGAAGGTGGAATCAAGCAGTTTAAGAAGAAATAAAATGAGAAATTGCCTTCACGATAGAAAACAAATTAAAGTCTATGGAAGTCAGAATACACACAGTTGAAAATAAAGTTGGAAAAATTGAAGAGCGTCTCTGCTGTCGAACAACAAATTGATTGCAAGGTTTTTGCTGTACCTTAAATAAATCCATAGCGACAAAAGGAAGCAATTCTGACTTTAAATTTTTGCCCATGCCTTCTCGGCCCTCTCTAAAACTGTCCACTTATGATACAAAGACCTTGCATGTGTATAAGACTCAGTTTTCTATAGTGACAAATGGAAATTCATAGGATTCTGAAGCTAAGGACTGTCATCTCGCCGTTTTTCTGAGACCAGATGCAGACTCTGCCTTTGAAACTTTCCCTCAAAGTCTGCCCGAAAATCAGAAGCATCTATCCAGTGCGTTGGAGCTGTGCTTTGGGGAA